GATCGTGCCCTGTATAGACCTCTCCGTCCCACTTCTTTCACTTGGCACAGGGATTGGCAACGTTTTCTGTAAAGGGCCAGGTAGTATATGTTTTAGGTTTGCAGGCCTTACTGTCTCTGTTGCAAAAAATTTCATTCTGCTATCGAAGTCATGCACTGCACGTGAAAGCTTGTGGGTGGCCATGTTCCAATAAAACTTTATTAAAATAGGTAGCAGCCACATTTGGGTGGAAAACCATAATTTGGCAGTCTGTGATTTAGCATAATGCTTTCAAGATCCATTCATGTTGTCGCAACTATTAGAAGTGTTCTTTTTATTGCCAGTTCCAACACATAGATGCACTAGAGTTTGTTTAGTCATTCACCAGTTGAAGAATGTTTTTACTAATTTTTGGAAATTTTAAATAAAACCACTGTAAATATTTGCCTACAGTTTTTTGTGTCAACAAAGATTTTGATTTCTCTTGAGTAAATCACCTTGGCAGGGGGGTTGTATGGTAAGTGTATGTTTATCTTTATTGTGTGTGTTCAGTTTCATCTGACTCTTTGCGACCCCATGGGCTGTAGCCTGCTAGGCTCCTCTGTCCATGGAATTTTCCAGGAAAGAATACTGGAGCAGGTTGCCATTTCCTACTCCAGTGGATCTTCCCAGCCCAAGGATTGAACCTGTGTCGCCTGTGTCTCCTACATTGGCAGGCAGGTTCTTTACCACTAGTGCCACTTGGAAAGTCCTTAGAAACTGTCAAATTGTCTCCAAAATGTCTAGATTATTTTGTATTTCCATCAGCAATATAAGAGAGTTCCAGTTGTGTTGTATCACCACCAACCCTTAGTACTGTGCATTTCTTTGTTTGTTTTAAGTTACTCTGAAAAACTATGAATGATCTTAGAAACTAATGTGAAGATACTTTACCTTCAATCTCATGGTGAGTTGAAAGCTCTAGAAGGGTTTTACACATGGAAATGATGGAAATGACATGATTTGGGTTTTTAAATGATTACCCCAGCTGCAGTATGGAGAATGATTTGGAGGGAAGACTGTTAACTGTGTGAAGACCTGTTAGGAGAATATCATTTTAGTGCAGAGTAATGGGAAGGTACCTGGATTGAAAGAGGGCAGTGAAGATGATGTCACTAGATGTGAGAATTCTTTAGGAGTTGGAATTTATAGAACTCAGTGATTGATCAGATTTGAGACTTAAGAAAGTGGCACAAGCAACTGGTTGTATAATGATGCCTTTACCGAGATGAGGAAAACTGATAGGGAAAAAGGTTTGGGGATATAAACTGTATCAGTAGAATTTTGAGATATATGTGAGATTATGAAATGGAGGTTTCATCTACGTAGTTTGGTATCTAGGTTCTGGAATAGAGGAACACAGTTGAGAGTCAGTGTGGTATACAACATATGTGATGACACGGAGAAAAATGAGATTCCCTAGAGTTATCAGTGACCCGAGAAGAGTAAATAGGCAGACCCAAAAGGAACCTCAGTGATTACAGTTGCACAGAAGACAGACATAAAAGGAAAGTAGGAGAGAGTAGGTTCAAGAGCTGGAGGGAGAGAGAGAGAGAGGGTGGGAGAAGGCGGTTTGTCTCAGGTAGTCGTCTTCCAGCTGATGAAGTGAGTGAATGTGCTGAGATGACAGCTGAAGTGCGGGATGACAAGTGCACATGGATTTTGCAGCATAACAGATATTGGTCAGTGTTGGTGGTGGAGGTCATGACAGTGGTGCTGGTATACACCTGAAAATCCATATTAAACTGAGATGGGGAGTGAATAGGAGGTGCTGTGCTAAGTTGCTTCTATGGGCTGTAGCCCACCAGGCTTGTCTGACTACAGGATTCTCCAGGCAAAAATATTAGAGTGGGTTGCCATGCCCTTCTCCAGGGGATCTTCCAGACTCAGGGATCAAACCCGTGCCTTTTAGGTCTCCTACATTGACAGGATGGTTCTTTATCACTAATGCCACCTGGGAAGCCTGAATAGAAGGTGAGGTGGTAAAAAAGGTATACAGGTATACAGATATTTCAGGAATTTTTAGGCTAAGTGATAGAACCATATGTAAGAGACGTTTTTTACTGTTTGTTAAGATGAGACAGGTTAGAGTGTACCCTTGAGAAGGATGAAGCAGGGGATGAGGACAGGAGAAACAGCATAATCAGTGGAGAGATGGGCAAAAGGAATGTCCATCTGATCTAGTGTACTTGCTGAAGAGGTTCAGCTAACTTTAATATTCACCTGTTAACAGAGTAGAATGGGGGCTTTTCTAATGAACTCTACCGTAGTAGAGTCCTTATATTTATTTTTCAGCTATTTCTAGGAAACTTATCAAGCAGCAAATGTCAGCACAATTCTTTTGATGTGTGAAAATGCTCTGGCGGTTTAGTCACTTGTCAGTCTCATGTCCAAGTCTTATCCATCTGTCATGGCCCAGTTGAAACTCTCAAATGAGAGACTCTCCCTCCCTAATCTGAATGGTCATAGCATGGTGCTTTTTTTTTTCCTCCTTCTCTATTTTGTCATTTGTTCTTGTGTGTATTTACTGTGTGTATGTGTATGTATATGTATATATTCTTCTCCTTAGATGAAAGGAGACAGAGACCATGACTGAAAGGTGTTACATTCTCCCCAGCGCCTAGCCTAGCTGGTTACATTTACTTAGCTTGCTACCTTAAATGCAAGTAAATATGAACATGGGGGAATGGTTATTAGCAGACAATTAGGAGGAGTTAAGTAAGGAAGCAAAAGATTTTTGTGGCTTGGAATCTGAATTAGTTACCTGAAAAATTATGGACCCTGATTATAACCTTTTGTTTTTATGATACCTAATAAAATATGTTTTGAACGTTTCTTGTTCCCTGCTACTAAGGAACCTATTTAGCAATGATCCAACTCCTCTTTGGTGTAATTAATAGTTTACCAACTACTTTCACTTCATTATCCTATTCAGACTGAGAGTAAATCAGAGATATACAGATAGAGACTTCATAGGGGATATATTCCATGTTGCAAAGGAAAAAACCAAGGTCAGAGATAGTTAAAAGTCCCTTTACTAGTAAACACAAGTGCTAAGACCAAAGGCAGGACTCTCCAGTTCTAATCCAGGTTTCTTTCAATGTACTCTGTGGCTTCTAGATTTATTTTTATAAAAATCCAATTGGCCTGATAATTATTTAATACAATTGTAAGGAGCAATGTGGTCTGCTTTATTTAAATGAATTAAAAAGTCACTTATCATATAACAATCTCTTGATCAGAGCTAAGATCACCTTTTATGGAAGAGGCTTGGCCTTATGGCTCAGAGCTTCAGACATAGCCCCTACTCCAGAATGAAAAGAAACATACCCTTAGGAATTGTGCTGCTGCTGTGATTTAAATAAGAGAATAGGAGTTACGTATCTGTGGATAGCTAACTGGTAGAGCAACAGTGATGAGCACTGTTCAAAACAGTGAATAAACCTAATGTCAGCATTTTGGAGGAAAAGAAACAGATATTTACCTGTTTTTCTAAGCTTTTGACATTTTTTAAGACTAGTGCCATTCTTATGGACCACAGCCTGTCTAACTCAATGAAACTATGAGCCATGCCATGTAGAGCCACCCAAGACGGACAGGTCATGGTGAAGAGCAAACTGTGGAAAATTCTTTAAGAGATGGGAATACCAGACCTGTCTTGAGAAATCTGTATGCAGATCAGGAGGCAGCAGTTAGAACTGGACATGGAATAACAGACTGGTTCCAAATAGGGAAAGGAGTACATCAAGGCTGTATATTGTCACCCTGCTTATTTAACTTATATGTGAAAACTCTTGAGAGTCCCTTGAACTGCAAGGATATCCAACCAGTCCATCCTAAAGGAAATCAGTCCTGAGTATTCATTGGAAGGACTGCTGCTAAAGCTGAAACTCCAATAGTTTGGCCACCTGATGAGAAGAACTGACTCTGAAAAGACCCTGATTCTGGGAAAGATGGAAGGCAGGAGGAGAAGGGCACGGCAGGGGATGAGATGGTTGGATGGCATCACTGACTCAATGTACATGAGTTTGAGTAAACTCTGGGAATTGGTGATGGACAGGGACGCCTGGTGTGCTGCAGTCCATGAGGTGTGCAAAGAGTTGGACATTTCTGAGTGACTGAACTAAACTGAGCATCATTCTTGATTTAGGATGATAAATTATAGTGTAATGAAAGAACTATTAATAGAAATAAGGAAGGTCATTATCCTTTAGGGGGACTATGGTCAGCTTTAATTATATTATTGTTAAAGCTTTCATAAATTGAAATAGTGTGTATTAAATATATAATATATAATTTTATGTTAAAGCATTTAATGGGGAAACCACTGACTAAAATCTTTTTTTTCTTTTTGACTAAAATCTTTATATAATATTATTCCCATTGGCCATAGCTGATTATTAAGCTGGATAGTAACTTCTGTTGAACAGATTCTTTTTCATTGTACTGACTTAAAGATCCCCAAACTCTAGAATGTATTTTTGTCAGGGAAGTTAAGGCATTAAGAACATATACCTTTAAGAAATTGCAGAAAGGCATAAAGTGTTTTTTCTTCCTCCTTTCTACACTTTTAAATGTTATCTGAATGAATGGCTGCTACTAGGTAAAACATTTCCTTATGGTCTCCTATAAATTGTCTCAGACAGGGTATTTGGGAATTGCTGTACCCTGTGGAAAGTAATTGAACTTGGCTGGGTATGGAATCAAAACAGTCAGTTGAGATAGCAAATCTGAAACCAGGTGTTCCACAGTTAAATAGTTATGATTCATGGGGGAAAAAAACCACAGAATTTTAAGGACTATTTTTTTCCTCCAAGGCAGTTGATTCTATCATTCCATGTGGACTATGGACTCTGGTCTATCTCTGGTTATCATCTTCATTACAAGTCTCTCTTTCTCTCTCTGTTTTCTTTAGTGTAATGTAAAGTTTATTAAATTGGTGTTCCAAATGACCATCTGAAAATGGTCTCCTTTTATCTCAGGTGAACCTGGCCTTCGTTGAAGCAGCAGACTGCGTTTCAGAACCTGTTAACAGGGAGCCTCCTTCCAGAGAAGCTCAGATACTGACTTTGAAAAACACATCTGAGTTCGATGTACTTGTCATCGGAGGAGGAGCAACAGGATGTGGCTGTGCCCTGGATGCGGTCACCAGAGGTGAGTCCTGGTGTGGATGGATGTAACGCAGGTAAAGGTTTCATCTTTCCTCCCGATGTAGACACAAACGTGCACGCAGGGCTGGAAAGTCACGTTACTACTGCATTTCTTCATTTTCCATTCTTTGTGAAGCACCTTCTCATTTTTAAAATATAGGTAGTTAGACAATTTTAAAATTAAATATAGCTTGTCTTTCACATTGAAATTGGTTTATTTAAAAAGAAAACTTTATATTCCTGTGAATTCATTGATTTGATATTCTGGTTAGTGTTTTTTTACATAATAAAGTACATTCATGTGAAATAAAAATATCTGTGTATCATTTAAAATCACATTTATGTCAGTGATTTATCTTTAATAGAAAGATTTGTTAAAATGAATTAATCTATTAAAGTAATTCTTTTTGTTTCTCTATTAAAATCATCTCTTCCAGTGAAATATGAACTACAGTTTGCAAAACTCTAGTTTATGTGTAAAAAATGAAAAAGACCTGCTAACCTGTAGTTCTGTCACTCTTTTAGTTAGTTTTAGGAAAGACTTTATGGAAAGTTCTTTCAACATGGGAACAGGATATATAAAGAAATAAATTTTAGTAGGGAACACCAATGGTCTTACATATGGTATATTTAATGATTTGATTCTGTTGTCTGTGGTTATTAGTGTGGGGTTTGGAATCAAAGAAATATGGGTACATATTCTGGCTCAGGTGCTTTATAAGATGTATATATGTATGTGCAGACATACACACATGCACACAGATACACTTCAGCGAGTTACTTAATTTCGCTAAGTTTCTTCATCTTTCAAATAAGAAAAAAATACCTTCTGTTAATGATTGTTGTGAAGATTAAATGAATAATCATGAAGAAGATTTAAAACAGGGCTTGCCACAGAAAGCAAAAAACAATAAATTGTAGGCAGTATGATAGCTGACAGTAATAACATGAAGGCAAAAGACTTTTAGAACCAATCGTCCTGGAGAAATCATCCTTTGTGGTGTTCTTAGATACAGCACGTTGGGCTGGGTACTGCTGCAAGGAATTTTGACTCTGGGTTATTTTAGATACTATGTAAGATTCAATATTCATTGCAGTTTCATACTCAATGGTGATAATTTGTTACATGAAATAATTTTTATTAGATGAAGTTACTACCACATCCACTCTGGACTTACTTTGTGTATCTGATAGATTTTAGTCTTACATAAATGAAATAAATTTCATGAGATTAGGCACACCTAAGCAAAAAAATATCCTAGAGTTTACTAGGATTGCACAGGACCCTCACTTGAGATTTGATCCATGTAGACATCATAGCCTAGGTCCATTTTGTCACTTCCAGGTAATGGTAAATTCACAATATTAGCCCTGGATCCTATTCTGTTGCCTGGCAGACCCTGATTTTTATATAATTCTGTCTCCATCCATGGTTTATAATTTGAATTAGATTATCCTGGGGCACATTATGTCAGAGTGAAAGAATGGTTGAAGATCCCTCAAGGAATCTGAATTCACCTCTCTCCCCTGGAGGCCTGGTTGAAAGAGTGCAAAAAGGGACACATTCCCTTGCCATGGGAGATCTTGTTTGGGACTGCCCCAGTTGTCCTGGGACTACCCCAGAGGTTAGAAGTTACCAGATGACAATGTTCTGTGTCCAAGGGTGTCATTTTCCCAGTAGGATTCAGAAAAATAGGTTTCTTCAGGTTGCCACTTATATTCATGCTATGTACTGAAATATATAGCAGTTCTTTTTCTTTCATTTCAAACAAATATTGAATGAGTATTATGCATGCAATATTCAAGGTACTACATGTGAATCCAAAGATGATTGATCCAGGCAGCACACAGAGGTTGCTCCCAGTTCTGTAGTTCTTGTGGGTGAAGACTGAGTTATCCTGTGTGCCTTGCAGAAGCTTCGGGGGCACTGTTGTATCTGGACAAAGCAAGCTGCTATTTAGCACAGGTAGAATTTTAATAGGCCAAACTTGCTTGCTGAAAGTGTGCTAACCTGAGGGAACAGGCGAAGGAACGTGTGTGGGAAACAGCTGATGTTTCAGTTGGGAGCACCCAGGCTATGTGGGGGAGGGTGTGAGAGAATTGTGGAAAGGCAGGAGTGGACCTGACCTACCAGGGAAAGGCCTTTGGACTTTACTCCACAGGCCACTCTGATACTCTGAAGAGCGTTAGTGTTGAAGAAGGGGGTAGGCAATAAGGAAGAAACATGCATGGGTATAAACTTTTAAGAGATCTAGACACAGGACAAAGGGCGAAACTTGCTGATGTCATAGGATATGAATAAGGGAGGCAATATGTCCAAGAATCATTTTTTCTTTCACTTGTTTAAGATAGGCGCAATTTGAATATTTCTATAGACTCAGAAGGGAACCTTGATATTCAAATAATAGAAGGCTGCATGTGGACAAGGTCTTAGAAAACTACAATGTATGGGCTAAGAAAGATGTATCTTAGCTTTGGCAGAACAGTAAGAAGCATTTCTCAGAGACAGAAACAAAGTGTAAGATAACATGGTAGGAATAGGGGTTGCTTTGCTCTGGTTAGGAAAGGATATGTGTGTGTGTGTGTGTGTGTGTGTGTGTGTGTGTGTGTTCCCTTATGTGTCAGAGTTGGGGCAGAGAAAATACATGCATGATAGGGTAGAATCCCAAAATGAGAACTGACTGGGTATCAATGATGAGAAGAAAATGAGAAAAGATTCTATGAAGGCAAGAAATTGTTTAAATGGAGACCTAGAACTAGAGGGAGGAAAGGGAAGTTGTAAAGTCAACTTCTCAAAGAATTAGGGTGGGTTGCCAGATCGTGAGTGTAGTAGTAAAAAGGCAGCTATTAATTAAGTCCATTTTGTACCATACCTCCTTTTGAAAAGTCTCACCTATATTTGCTTTTGTGAAATTTTTATATTTATATCTTTTGGAAAACATAGATAAGATCATACTGTAGTCATTACTTTGCAGTGTGTTACTTTCAAATATGTATATGGCATTCATTTTTTAATAATGATTCTTTAAGTTATTTCCACTGTTTTGTTCTGCTATTGGTATAATACTTTTAGTGAGTCAACCACTAAACCAGTTCTGGGAATATAAAAACTAGCCAGATGTGGCCTTGCCCTCAAGGAATTTATTAATATTTGTTGAACAAACATTTTTCCTTTGGACGGTAAAGAACATTAGCTAGTACATTAGCATTTGATTGTGGGTGATGGTAGTGATGATGATGATGATTTTGAAAAGGTAAGAATTTTCAGAGCCACAATGTTAACAAGATTTTTAAAATACTTATGGATAGTAACAGCTAAATCCATAGTTTATATTTCCTTTATTATGCTGGTAGCCCTCTGAGGGTAGCATTTGTAATTAAAATGTATAGAGATGCTGAAGTCAATCTATATTTATCCTTTTACAACAATTTCTGATCATATCAGTAGCCCTCTGAAGTGTGAAATGATTGTGGGCATTTGGTTAATGAATTGTGCATTGTTGCTGTTCATTCATGGAATTTGCTCTTTTATTATATTTGATGCTTCACTTAACAACAAATTTTGCTTTCTCTGCATTTGATATGTTTTTACCAAATTATTCCTGATTGTATCCATTAATCTTTAGTCACATTTGACAAAAATAAATTACTGTGATCTTTTAAAGTTACCAGTAATAATTAGATTTTTCAGGACATCAAAGTTTTGGGGGAACTGCTAGATGTTAAAGGGCTTGTATAAAAATGTTTGCACAAGGTTTTTGATGAAATACTGTGCCCAAATGAGATTTTGTTAATGAATAAACAAAGACCATAGAAGGAAGGGAAAAAGTCTTGAGGTTTTCATAATGAACATTTATTTGCATTGTTACCATCTGCATTTTCTTGGGAATCAATTTTTGTTCGTTTCATTTGGGAATATTATTTGATAAACATAATATGCACAATTCTCCTCACGTTCTTGGGCAGGTCTCTAGGATCGATAGAAATTGCTTCTCTGTTTAACACCTCTGTGGCCAGTCCCTGAACAAGAGCACAACCTAGAAGCATGGGGATACAGGCCGCCAAAAGAGAGCTGGAATGATGAGAATCTGATACAGTCACCCCCTCAGAGGGCTTCAAGATGTTTCTTTTTCAGCTCTTTTTGTTCTTTTATGTGACTACCTGTATGTATCAGGGATCAACTAGTACCGTTCTGGTTTAAAATTTTGTTTATAAACTTAACTTTTATGACTTCAATTCAGATTCCAGAAAATACTGCCCTTGCTAGAAGAAAACATTAATTGTAGTTCTCCTGTTTAAAAATGTATATATACTTCTAGCTTATGAATGGTACCTGGCTAATAATTCCTGAATTCTCACTGCAGCTCCTTCAAGTCTAAGAGTATAGGATAGCGAGTAAGGACAAAGGCAATGAGATTAGAACAGAGTGGGATCAGTCAGCTTCATCATTTACTAGCTCCATGAACTTCAGTTAAGTGTCTTGACCTATGTAGACAGCCTGAAGGTTCTCAGACATAATGGAGGATAACGACACTCTTCTGCATAAATAAAGATTTGTGAAAAGCAGGAGGTATGAGCATTGCAGTTAAAAAAAGATGCACATAGGGAGAGCGATGGAAGATACTGCATTCTGGGAATTACAAACCGGCACCCCTCACCCTCTTCCACCAGCGCCCTATTTTAGGACAGTAGAATTGCAGCAGATGAAAGTTTGCTGTTTCCTGGACATTGCTAATTAGACTAGGTCGCAATTGCTACTAATCTGGAAATTTGATGTAATTCAGTGATTACATTAGAGTGACTGTCTTTGTCAGGAGTGGGGTGGGGAGGATTAGAGAAACTATACCAGAGGTATTTGGAAAAATGAGACTTTGAGATTTACTACATTAATTTTGAAAAGGAATTATGATAAAGGAGATAGAGCTCTGTCAATATTGAAGTGTATTCTAAAGCTACTTTAAATAAAATAGTTTGCAAAAAAAATAAGAAAGACCAGAGGAACAA